GCACTCCAGCCTAGGAGACAGAGCAAGACTCTGTCTCACAAAAAAAAAAAAAAAAAAAAAAAAAGAATATTTGCTAACATTTATTGGACAGGCTGTTACAGTGCTTGACACTTTATTAAGGCATTTCATTCCCCTCACCCGTATGAAGCAGGTACCGCCATTCCTCAGTCTTACAGAGAGGAAGAGAGAGATTAGGTAAACGTGCAAAAATCATGGAATGTGATGAACAACTAGATTAGGGGAGGAGGAGGATGGTCCAGGATGCCTCACAGATTCCAGTTCAATAACTGAGTGGATGGAGACGCCATTCACTGAACTGGGATCCCAGGGAAGATTTGTAAGCCTCATCAGGAAGTTTACTGTTTTTCACCTTCGGTAGTCACTCTTTCCATTTCTATTTCTCTCACACATTTCTTACAGAAACATATACATTATTCATTAGTAGTTAACCAAATTCTTAACTGTTGATTAAACCAGACCCAGCCAAAGGGATAAAACGATGACACTGACTGCTAAAAAGGGATTATCTCGACTTCATTCTTTCCCTAGTCTTTCACCGTGACCCTGATTCATTAGAGTCAGTCTTTAGTCAGCCTTGGAAGCGGATGAAACTGGGCCTGCGCTTGGTGTGTGCGCAGTGTCTTGGATGTGCCATGGCCTGGCTTTGGGGCCGACTCCAAAGACTGGCTCTGTGTGGACTGGATTTTGAGCTACGTGACGGCATCTCACCCTTTGTCAAACACGGCTCTCTCACTCACTCTGCAGCTGAGCTGAGGCTGCTGGGTGATGATGAACCAAATGCAACGTGCCAGGTTGCTTTTAAAAAACAAGTCTTTTATGATTCATCTGAAAGGTATTTCTTTGATTCCGTTAATCAATCACTTAGCAGGTATGTATTCAATGACTTTTCTGTGCAAGCCATTGTGCTATAGAAGTTAGCAAAATTAATAAAACAGAAGGAGGCACAGTAAACAATTTTTAATCAAATGAGTGAAAAATGATGTATAACAAATGAACGTACACATAGAAACACTCAGGCATGTGATATTGGAATTGGAGCTATTCTGGGACATCTTGGAGGTGACGTTGTCATACATACAAGATGAGGGGTCCCTGAACTCCAGAGGGTACATTTTACTTAGCTCCCCCAAGGTCTCAGTTATAGCCGCAGCACCCCTGCTCCCGTTGACTGACTAGGACCTGTGGCATCCTGCAGAGTCCTCCCCTCCCCCACTGCCCCTCCCATATGATTCTGGGAGATTCCAGCAGGTGGTTCACACGTGTTCACACACCGCTCTCCTGCGGCCCCTTGTTGATGCTGCTTGTTGGTGAAACCTCCACCACTGGTCTTGCATCTGGTGCCCTCCCAATGACTGCTGTTGTATGTGAAGAGAGGGGACCCTCCCAGGGCTCCTCAAACCTGCCTCTCGGAGGGGCCCAATGGCCATCCTTCCTTGAGGCACTGGCCTGCAGCGGTGCTATGTCTGGCTTACACATAGGAGGCTGTTCCTCATCCCAGCTCCATGGGTCACACTGGGCTGTGCCGCTTATGCCTTCTAGAAAGCAGTTGCTTCCACCTCTGCCCGGACCCTCAGCTCAGGCCTGTCCTGGAACTGGACCTGTGGAGCCCTGCATTTCCCTTGGCCCTGGACAAGACTCCCTGGGGCTGACTGTCACCATCGCACAAATCATCTGAGGCCAGCAGGTGGCCAGGGTGGGGCTGGGCAGAGCAGGCTCCACGTCCCTGTGTAGGCCCAGCCTGACCCCAAAACCTGAAGGCAGTGGTGACTAGCAGGATCTGTGTGCAGGTGGTTGGTAGTAAGAGCAGAACTGAATCCTCCTGGACACTTACGCAACAGTTGCTCAGAGGAGGCCCTGGAGGCCTGAGGCTGGCAGAGAGGCTTTGCGGAGAAGGAAGCACTGGAGCCTGAGGGAGGCCTGTGGCTGGTGCTTCCTGCACCCCCTCCTGGGCCCCTGCTTGCATGAGTGTCTCCTAGCAACTGCGCTGGCACTGGGACACTTCAGGGCTCAAGTGGCGAAAGGCACTCACTTTAGCCCCTTCTGTTTTGCCCTTTGCCTGATGTGACCTTTGCCCTAAAGTGCTTTTGCACCTAACCAGCAGCCCCCAGCACAGCAGTCACCCCAGTGGAGTCAGGGGCACCATGAGAGGCACTACCCAGGACCAGCTCTGTGCACCTCGACTGCCCACAGGGCAGTCCCCAGGCCTGCTCCCGACACCAGCTGGCTTGCTTCTCCGTCTCGTCTTTGACTGCTCTTACTCTTAGTCACCACTCAATTTCTCTGCAGGTCCAAGCGTCCTTACTGTGGCTTAGTTTGTCCTGTCTGCTTGAAATAGGTCTCTCAACCTGGCAAACTCCCAAGCACCCTTCAGACTGAGATGAATGCCCCCTTGAATGTGAACTTCCCTTAGGCAAAACCCACTGGTTGTGCTGCTGCCTCTGTGTCCCTTCAGCCCATTCTCCACATGGGGCCAGGGCCATCATAGCTCTGGGCATGTCACCAGTTCACATCCCAACGACTTTAGAATGAGTCCACATTCTTTGGTGGCCACACGCCTGTCCCACTGGCCCATCTCTGACCTCACTCTCACCACCCGCCTCTTCCTTCTGGTGCCATCGGCCTCCTGGCACTTCCTGGAACTGCCTCAGGTCTTTCCTCTTGCCTCAGGTCCTTTGCACAAATGATTCCCTCCTCTCTTTCCCTGGAATCGTCACTGTGTATCTTCCAGGTCTCTGCTTAAATGTCACCTCCTCAGACAGGCTTTCCACACCTTCCTCTCTAAAACAGGTTCCCACCATTGTCTCATTATAACAAGGCTGGTCTTAGTCCATATAGGCTACTATAACAAAACACATAGAGGGGCAGCTTATAAACAACAGTAATGTATTTCTCACTGTTCTGCAGGCTGGGAAGTTCAAGGTCAAGGCGCTGGCTAATTTGACATCTGGTGAAGACGCACTGCCTGGTTCATAGACGGTGCCTTCTCACTTCATTGTCACATGATAGAAGGGGTGAGGGCGTTCTCTGAGTCCCTTTTGTAAGGGCACTAATCCCATTCATGAAGCCTCCATCCTCATGACCTAATCACCTCCTAAAGCCCCACCTTCTAATACCATGACCATATGGGTTGGCTGTGTCCCCACCCAAATCTCATCTTGAATTATAGCTCCCACAATTCCTATGTGTCATGGGAGGAACCCGGTGGGAGGTAATTGAATCACGGGAGTGGGTCTCTCCAGTGCTGTTCTTATGATAGTAAGTCTCACGAGATCTGATGGTTTTATAAAGGAGAGTTTCCTTGCACAAGTTTCTCTTCTCTTGTCTGCCGCCATGTGAGAAGTGCCTTTTACCTTCCATCATGATTATGAAGCCTCCTAGCTATGTGGAACTGTGAGTTCATTAAACTTTTTTTTTTGGAAGTTGCCCAGTCTCAAGTATGTGTTTATCTGCTGCTTGAAAACGGACTAATGCACATCACTTTGGGGGTGAGGATTTCAACATATGAATATTGGGAGGACACAAACATTCAGACCATCACATTTAGTCATTGTTCTCTGTCTTCCTTTGTTGACTTCAGTTATGACCACGTCCTAGCTAGAGTGTGAGCTTTGTGAGGATAGAGACTACCTGTGTAGCAGTAGAATATTTGTTGAATAAATTAATGAAGTATTAATTATCAGGTATTGCCATTTTAATGAACATGTTTCCTTCATTGCATTGCAAGTCCATTGAAACCATTAGCCTTTGTGACTTTGATATATATATTTTGGCCTGGCCCCAAATCCAAATATTTGCAGAATTGAAGAGAACTTGACTCGTGATTGGAATGAACTGCAAAGAGGAAGCTTTCAATACTCGAGCACTTCAAACTGAACCTCTGAAGTGGGACTGAACCCAAGGCAAGCCCTAGGCCAGATTCAAGGACACTTCCTTAATGTTGCAAGTGACTTAAGGCAATGATCACTGGCCACGGGCGGAGCAGGGGAGAGCAGACTGAGCTGATGGGAAAGCTACTACTTCTGGGGTTTCCCTCTGCCTCTGAGTCTCTACCTTTCCAAGGTGAGGGTCACCCTATGGGGTTGGAACAGGGTTTCAAGCCTCCTGCAAACCTGCATCCTGGGCCCTGGTAAGGAGCTCATGGCCTCCTGGTCTTTGCTCTTCCTTCCTTTGCTATTATTGGTGAATTATTGCCAGCAAGGAGAGATTGCTAGGAATGAAAAGGGCACTTCAGATGGGCTATTAAAACTCTCTCTCTCTCTCTCTCTCTCTGTCACACACACACACACACACACACACACACACACCCAGGAAGAAATGCTCCTGAAAACCCAGATTGTAGACTGGGGGTCTGGGGTAGTGGGCTTAGCTCAGGGGCCTGAGGAAGTATCATGATGCTGACAACTGAATCCCCGGCCCCACTGTTCGCATTACCAGTATTGACAAGTATTCAGGTTTGAGCTCTGCAAAACCTGCAAAGTGGCCCCATGCATTCCTATTTTAAATATCCCAGGTTTGGGAAAAATGAAAATTAGTGCTTCCTGATGATGAAGAAAAAAGCCCCCAAGAGAAGATCCTCCTGCTAATGGAGAAGTCTCTTGCCCTCTCATAGGCTCCCTTGGGGCTTCCTCTTGGGTTACCCCAGTTGGATCTCCCTTTTAAGCCTCCAGAAGGGGTTTGGATGTGATTAAACTGACATAGAAGTGAACACTCATTCAGATTCCCAGGGCCAGGAAGCCATGGGGACCATCATCACCTTACCCTGAAATGCTTTCCTTGGGGCTTACTTAAGTCCACTCCTGGGAAGCATATGTAGGAAGGTGGAGATGGAAGCCTCTGATTCTGCTGGTGAAGGGAAATGGACTCCCCTACCCCTTCTGTATCCATCTGCCCATTTCATTGACCTGTGGCACAGAAAGTGCTTACACATCTTATACAGACTCGACACCAGCCCACTTCATTGTTCCACATTGCAAAAAAGTACTTCTCATTCTCTTTCAGTCTTGTCCGCGAGGTTTCTCCTTAGCAGAGCCCGGCAGAAGTTTGCCCTCAGTAGTACCCACTCACGCTCCTTTCCTCCCCCATGCCTGGCCCTTTTTGTGCCCCCACAATGGCCCAGTATTTTCCTGCAATTCAGGCTATTCACAACCTCCATGACACCCGACTGCCTTCCCAGACCCTCTCCAGGTCAACCCTTTTCCATTCCCCCCAAAAAACACAACAGTCCTATTTCTACCCCCTGTGGAGGAAGAAGTTAGATCACTGATTCCACCCTCCTCTTTTTCCTCAAAAGAAATTAGCTACATTGTATTAGATACAATTTAAAGTGCTGTTCGTTCCAGTGTGTTCTGAGTGATAACAGAGGCTTCCTGATGGTTTACCTCCCAAGCGTATCCACCCAGCACCAGCTTTCTGCGTGTGCTCTCATCTCTAGGGTCTATCACACAATTCAGACTTCAGAAGGCATAGTTTGGCATATTTTGGGCCATTTTCATGTGACCTATTTGTTTCTCCCCATCTAGATTTTAATTTTTAAATGCATATATCCTAGCAGAGGGCTAAAAACATTGCTTCACACTTAAGAATGAGTCTCTAGTGTGTACAAAGTCAGTACAGGTAGGAGAATCATAAAATACTTGCAAGTTTCAGTGGGGAGGACCTGATAGAATCTAGTTCAGCTTCCTCATCTGATAGACAAGAAAGCTGCGGTTCAGAGAAGTTTAATAAGACATGAAACAGTGAAGCATTTATTCATTCAAGAACAAATATTTATTCAATGTCTGATCTGTTGAGTATAATGGAAATATAAAGATGAATCAGTCATGGACCTCACTCTCCAGGAACTTAGGGTTTGATCTGAGAAGGAGATAAGGTATGTGTGAACATCAATAACTAATCTGTGTCATAAGGAGCGCCATGAAAGTGCTAAGTGAACTATGATCCAGTGCTTCACATGAACAGGGTAAACCTGAAATGCTGTGCGTGTCCAGGAAGAGCAGAGCTGAGGACAGGGGCTGACACAGAGGGAATGTCCTAGTAGGTCCACGTCAGACATCTAACTGGGATTGTAGGCATAAGCCTACCGCACCTGGCAATGAAGCCCACTCTATGCTTGCCCTTTGCTGGGTTAGTGATGGCTCCCAAGCTTGCTTTATCCCTTGTTTATGGGGAACATGTTGTGTGCCCTGCTGTGTCTGATAAAGAGACCTAGAAGGAAGCTAAAATAGTAAATGTATCCAGTTGGACCTTCAGACTCAATCTGACTCTAAAGATAGCAACTTAAAGGAAAGAAAACCTTGTTCCTTTCAAATATCCTCTCTCCACTAAGTGACTATTGTTATGTTTCAACTCTGTGTGGGTTTTTCTCCCCACCTTCTTCCTATTAAATTAATGCTTGCAAGATGTGCTGAGATGATACAAATAACCTTCAAAGGCACAGCCCAGCTCTCCAAAGATGAGGAGTGCTGGTACCCATGCTTCTTAAAGCCTTGCCTAGGTCATCTGGGAGACAGAAGGCAAATCAATCACGATCAGGGTGCGGTGCATTCACAGCTCACTCAATTCTTGCACTTTGTGCTATTGGGACCGACCACGAAAGAAGCTGAAGCCACAGTTCTTGCCTTCGATGAGGCTGCTGTCTAAGAGAGAAACTGACCCCTAAGTGCAAGATAGCACGGTTTGCATTACATACACGCATATGTGTATGAGCGTGCGTGCACGTGCACGCACATACACTCCCAAGGACATACACTCCCAAGAGCAGGGTTGTGTTTTGTTGCCTAGCCGCTCCACCACTTTACCCAGCTTCTATCCATCCTTTGCCTTAGAGAAAGAAGGGCGGAAGCTCTTTAGAGGCTACCTTGCCACCTGACCCCTCCCTGCCCCTCCTCTGAGTCCTCCAGCTCTAC